TCCCTACACTTCTTCCAAATCCCTGCACATGGTTTCCCAACCTTGGGTCTATCCCAATCCCTCACCCACCCTGTGTTCCTCACTGAAGCCCTTGGCTTAACTCGTTGGTCCAGGTGCCAGTGCTGGCTCAGGGCTCAGGTACCACAGGAGAGAGCTGAGTGGGGCAGAAGCTGTGACTGAAGACAATCAGCTGGAGAGCACTAGTTGCATGACCAGGCAAGTGCCTCTAGGCAGGTGGAGTCAGGCATTGCCCTTATTTTGAAGTAGCTTAGGAAACAGCTCTAACCAACTTACTCATGTCAGGGTCTCTCCCTGGTGCAGTCAATTACACCTTCTAAAGCAGGACAGAGACAGCCAAAGGGACTAACAGCCCCACTCACACTCCAGTAAACATGTTAATCGGAGAACTAAAGCATTCACTGACAAGGGAACTGTCAATCTACATCTTCGCATGAAGAAAAAACGAATTGAGCCCATGATTAAATCACCAGCAAGCAGGAGGCAGAGAGGCCTCCTTCTCCAGGCAAACCATGAGAACACCCATCTTGCCAGGGGAGCAGAAGTGCTCAATTTCTGGCACCTCAGGATGTCAGACCAGCCTGTCATCTAGTCCCCAGCACCATCAGCATGAAGGTCCTCAGCAAGCCAAGAACTATGAGACATTGAAGGATTTACAAAACTGCATTGAAGAAATCTTACAGCTCCACATGGTCTGCAGAGGAGTTTGGGGAAATGGTTTTGGTATCAGGCCTGGTTCTTCCAAGGTACTTAGATGCTAACCCAAATTGTTTACAGCGGAGATATTTGTCTACAGGTTTTTCAAGCTCTTAGCCCTTTGTGCCTTAGACAGGCTAAAACAGGCCAAGTTACTCAAGACATTCAGGTTAGCTGCATACCAGGTGGGACACCGTGTTCCAGCCCTATTCTCACCCCAGAGCAGCAGTGGCTCAGGTTGCCTCTGCTTGTCTGCACTGCAGAGAACTGCACTCACCCCAGCCAAAGTTTCAGTCCATGAAAAGTGACTGCAAGGGTGCAGCAGCACTGTGGGAAAATACTGAAGATAATCTTTAACCTTTACTATCTAGAGAGAAAACAGTTCAAGTAGGAATGTGTTTACCATATTGATGGTAAAACAGTTCCATTATAATGACAAGCATGATATTTCATCAAAATTCTTGAGATTTATATCTGCTGTAGCTCTCCTTCAGATGGAAGTTGGATGTAAAACAAGCATATGTTTCTTGTTACAGAGCTGCAAAAAATCCATTGTTTCTGGGTTGACTGATTCAAAATTTAAAGAAATCAGTCTGCCATAACAAACATGATCTTCAGTGAAATATAAGAATACTTTTTTATTGCTATATAGTTAATAAAAGAACGTCAAACAAAGCACAGGTTCACTTAAAAGTGATGAAAATGAGTTCAAGCTAAAACTGCCATCAAACTGCAGGATTAGCTATACCAACTCACTCTTTCTTAATTTGACACACCATTTAGATATGCTAAGGATGTTGTGGACTCATACTTCAAAAAGACCTCAGTAATCTGAACAGAATTTATATGCAAAAAACTACATTAATAATTTCAAAGTCAAGTTAGAAAATGCAAAATGCACCACTGCCTTGTGTATTATGATGTGATCTTAGATGGCAGGTTTGCGGTTTTCCCAGTAGGAACACTCTCCTTCAGAAGTTCTTTTTAATTGTCTTCAGTGCCCAGCTCAGCCTTGATTACTACACACCTTACAGGCCACAAAGGTATCAGCTTCCTTGTAAGTATTTCTACACACTTACCATCAGAGGAAAAAGGGCTATGAAGTTGCTTCCAAATCTATGAGAATCCCTGCCAGATTAGCTTCTGGTACCACCAACTGTAGCATCTAGTGTGTGTAGGGATGAATACCAGCACCTTCACCTAATACGTTCAGAGCAGGTCTACAGAATCCAGATATAGATGCAATTACTCTGCACTTCAGCAGATGTAATCCCCAGCACCAGATATTAAGCATTTAGCAAAATACTTGATTTATGTGGACCAAGTGTCTTGCTCAGCATTACTGGAGAACTTCTCAACATAATGAGGAAGAAAACCCACTTCTTCAAACCAGAATGCTCTTTCCTTCATCATCAAACTATCTTTTAACTTCTGGGAATCTGACCCCCCTTTAATGTTATCAAGCTTTTCCTCAAAATGAGGCAATTATGTAGATAACAAGCTCATGGCTGCACAATCCTGGATCATTCACAGGCTGCATAAGGAATATGGCAGAATCCCACAGAGAACTGGACAGAAAGGATGGAAGTGTTGCAAGGAAGTAACAGATCTGAAAATTCTTAATTTTTGCAAGTCCACTCCTTCCCATCTGTGGAGAATACGTATTTTAAGGATAAAAGTAAGAAATGAAAAATGGGAATCCCACTGACACTTCACCTTGTCATCAGCAGGATTCAGATCTTTCATACAACAAAACTCCTGTTTCCTCTAGCTAAAGACAAATGGTGGCAGCTCAGTGTGCACAGAGAGGAACACCAAAGGGTGAAATATGAAAGGTTTTCCAAATTGCTAATCTCTTAGCTGGTAACACAAGAATCCGAATCTTGCACCACATATTCTAGGCAATAGTTTACAGTATCTAACACAAAGCTGCTACCGCTCTTGGTTCCCAAGCAAAAGATACCCCTCTCTTACACCCACCTTCTCCCTGTGTTTCTCACTGCTTTTACATTCTCCCTAACATCTCAAAGAATACACACCCATCTTTGCAAAACACTCATTTTCTTGACTAATATAATTCTAAGATACAACTAAACACTACTCACTGACCTTTTTCAAAATCCTTTGACAGGATGCTACTGCACGTTTTGGGAAAATTTAAAAAGTAAAGTTAAAAATTATCAATCCAAGTCAGAAGCCTCTGAAAACACATCTCAATGAAAGCAGTCAAACAGTCTCAGCCTCAGTGAACAGATAAGCTCTTGACATGGCTTCCTTTTCTCTCTCCCTCTTGAACTGCTATAAAGATCACCCGGAAAGACCCTTCCATTGACTTCTACTAATCATCTCTGATTCTTCAAATTTTAAGTGTCAGTGTTTTCAGGTGTTTTAGGCCAACTGGAGCACAGCTGCTTTGCAGTCTGCTCAAAGGTCAGCAGGTAAGTGTCTGACACCAACAAACCCCTTTTCTCTAAACCAAGAAATGTTTGAGACTTTTGAACCCCGTTTATCTTAAACCAAACATAAGGCCACATTAAGTAGACACTACTAGATTTTGTAGAAGTTTGACCAGCTATGCCTTTCAAGTGCTACTTCCGTTAGATAATTAGAGATAACGAAACAGTTCTGATTAGAAAAATTAAGTATTCTAATAATTCCACAAATAGAAGTGTGAAACTTCAGACTCTATTTGTCTCTTGGAGGAACAATAGAAAGTTCTCAAAAGTATATAAAACTACATACACTTCAATCTCAAGATTTTACTATAGAAGATGAAAGAAATCTCATTTGTAATATAAACATACATTTTTAATATAAACTCCCTGCCGACTTTTAAGAAGTACTGGTGATTCAAATATTCTTCCAACATTGTGTTTTACTGCATCAGGTTGTGAAGTTTTGAAATAAAAATTTCACCCAGGGGTCACTGAATCCATCCTACAGATGTAAGCAATGAACGTTAATAAGAGTGATAAGCAAAGCTAGAAGTCTGTTTCTGTTCTAACTTCTAAACCAGTCTTGTATTTTTCTGATCACAGGAATTTGAAACTACAGACCTTGTTTGCTCCATATTTCTGTATTTTTTTTCTAAACTGCTCTAGCTTTTGGTCAAGAGATTCTTGCCTTTGGCAGACAAGCATGCACAACAAGAACTAAAAAACAAACCTTGGGACTATCACACACGATTGTGCACTTCAAAGAGCTATATGACAGGCTTTGAATTTCACATGTCATACCAAAATGTGTCTGAAATTAATATTGCCATTAAACGATGGAAGACTAAACTCAAGGTCTTCAGCCAGCAATGGCTGGTATTCTCTGGATACAACTGAATTCCTTGTTTTTAAGCAGAACCTGAATTCCATGTGTATCTCTAGTGCCTTTAGGCATGATAGTTTAAAACACTTGATACCAATTACTGTAAACAGCATGCTTAAGGCCATAAAAAAAATACATGGGAAGTAAATTATGCTATTGATAGCTCATCAGCATAGCACTTTTACCCATTAAAAGCATAAAAAGTCCTAAGAATCTTAAGTGAGACAGTCGTTATGGTTTACACGAAGTCTTTTAAAGGATTAACAATGTGTCTGGTATAAAAAGCTAGTGAAGTATTTCCCAATTCTGTGATTAGTGAATCATGTGTATTTTCCATTATTGTAATACCCACGTGCTTAGATGCACAGAACATTACTGTCTGTTGTCTTGTGGTGCCACTGAAACATCAAGCACTAGGCCAGCATTGCTGTCTTCAGGGAAAAGTGATGAAGGAAATAAGCACTCCCTTTCAAATTTAACAGAGCGACTAGCACCAAACATGCATGTTTCTTACCTAACCCTACAACTGCAGAAAACAGCTGTACCATGGAAAGAGAAAGAATCAAAAAGCTGGAATGAAGAGTGCATACCGCTAAGCTAATATGTAATGTATATGCTCATAGGAAAGATCTGAACATTAGCTTGTTAACATTTACAAAGAACTCTTCCAAGTAGATTTTATACTTTGACATGTTTATTTTAGTTGGATGAACAGTTTCAATGAACAAGCTGAAACAGTATTCCTCAGACTCACATTTGCCTCCCTGTAGACCTCTATAACCAAATGTTTAAAAATATCAGAAATACGTGGGTATTTGCATGAAGTAGTTCAATAGTTATTTCTTGTTCCATGCTTCTCTTTCGAGTCTTTCACGGATTACTTCTTTTAGGTACGGTTCAAGATAATGCTTATCCTGAAAAAGAAGAAAATGTATTTAAACTTAAAGGGAGGTCCAGAAAGATCTCAGGCTATTCCTACAGATTACTTGTCTCTCATTGCTCCTTAGATTTGACTAAAGCACAACCTAATGAAAAAAAATAGAAACAAAACTTTACTCATTCTGAAAAGGTAAACTTTGTGTCTGCCAAGTTTGCAATGACAAATTCTTTAGTGCAGCAACCACTAATTCCTAATGCCTCGCCAACATTAACAAGCTTCCAGCTATACCTTTAGGAAAAATGTTCTTTTGGCAGATACCTAAATGTACAAGATCCACTTTAATTACTTCAAAGTTCAACTATAATACTTTGGAGAAATGCATTTTGAACTTAACTTCTAAACAGCACTGTAAAATTGGATTCAGTGGAGCGCCTTGACTGTGTTTAACACAAACCAAACTGCTGCTTAAGGAACCACACAACCAGTTATTCAATGAAGCAGTTACCTAAGTATTAGCAATAACACCACAAGAAACAGCCTCTGTTTATAAAGAGAAACATAATACCCTTGGCACTATTCTATAGTCAGAAATTTAGTGATAAGATTCCTCTCTGCCTGATAACATGGAGAAAGCCAAGATGGACAGTAACGTACAGTCTATGAATCAATCCACTAGAAGAAAAATAAATTTTTGTTACACATGAAAAGGAAGGTGTAGTTTGCTTTTCAAATTACAAGACAATACTTATTTTCATGCAAGATTTCCCCTTAAACTATTCTTCATTGGTATCTTCATGAATGAAAGCTTTGCATCGAGATTTTCTATAAAATTAAGAAATTACTCAGAAAAGCAAGAGACCTTTTATAAGAATTTCCAAGCCAGCTACAGTGTATTTCTTTATCTGATAGATTAGAAGTACTTTGTCTGACGGCTAACTACATGCTATGGTTCCAAACTGTAGTTTAAGCTTTTGTCATCTGGAGTAAACTTTTCTGATTTCCACAGAAAAGCAGAGATTTTTAAACACTGTTCAAGAGCTGTGTTTTCCAGAGGTATCCTAAGAGATACGCACTCATCTACTCATTATAAAGTGACCATAAGCATGTATCTCTTTACACATAGACTGAAAATCCCCAAGATCAGTCATAGCAGTGCCATTTAACACCGCCACCTTGGGAACACTCTGTACACATACCTCTTCGTATTTCACCCACTGGTCTTTTGGAAGGATCCGATGTTTCAGGCTTAAGTCAAGTGCTCGCTTTATGCGAAATATTCTTTCATTATAAAGATGTTCAGGAAGTCTCCTCAGTGCTTCTTTTACATCATCATCTTCATACAAGGTATCATCTCGCATTAGTCCTGTACCAAGAAGATTTTACAGTATCACTGAATAAGAAGTGTTCTTAAGTAGGATTTAGGATTGACATCAGTGTTGTTACAGAACATGACCAAAACCCTTTCAATGCAAAGTTATGAAGAAAAAACAACCCAATCCAGGAGAAGAGAACCAGTAAATGGTCACAGAAAATAAACTCTTTCTATGGCTTTCACATATTCTACTTACTTGGTTTTACTCTCTTTCTTAAGGAGGAATAGGGAGAAAAAGGCATTTAATGCAATGTGTTTCATAAGAGTATATGTATAGAGAGAAAGAGAACAATAATTATTCAGGATCTGAGGGGTGGACTAATTTTATATATGTATTTAATATAACTGTCTAGGTAAAGGGTTAAAGAGCTCTGAATTCATTAGCCAGTCAACCACAGATGTAACTAGCTCAGTACTGAAGAATTATTCTCTAAACTCCACTCTACATAATTACTAGATCTCCATTGACTCTATTAGGCTATGGAAACCTGAAGCTACATGTTGGTGTGCAAATTGGTTCTCTCTCACCACTACAAATCAGAAGTTAAATCAGGGAGAAGTACCTAGTCTTCTCATAGTACACCCCCACACTGTGGGACAAAGGATTCCTGAAATACTTAAAGCAGGGTTGGTTGAATAGTAATTAGCTTAGGACAAACTGTTGCTTTTGTAACTTTCCAAGATCTATGCAGATTACAATTTATACTTTCTAGCTTGTGGATAGAAGTCTTGATCTCATGCAAGTGAGTTGGTAGCAGCATCCCAGCAAAGCTGAAACTTCTTTTGATCCACATTCTTGAAATCAGCTTCATAATTTGTTTCAAAGGCACAGGGAGCATGGCTGCTGCTTTAATTACTAGGTGATATTTTTCCTTCGCTTTTAGTTGTATTCTAAGAAAAGTGGGAGAAAGTATTAATGGCTTAATGAATTTCAACAGACAGTTACAAGAAGAGGGGCTAAGCACTACAACTCTGGAGGACAGACCTCATCTTATTCCTCTACAGTTGTCTTACAAATTTTTCTTCCAACTTCCTCAGGGCAGGTATATTAACTTCCTTTAAATTATTCACTCATATTGCAGTCAGCAATAAATTACAGCCTCTGAATATTCAGATTCTCTTGTCATTCAAGAACATTTCTGTCATCTAAACACCTGAAACAAACTTGGTAACAGCTCTGCACAAACTGAAGACAATACCACGAAGGCAACATCCTCTAGTTAAGGAAACACTACACCTGTTTCACCACTGCACAGGCCACAGAGACACCAAGTGAAGTTATGGTGATACAAAGGGCAGAACTAACTAAATCCTGTTTTACACTTTGGATGCTTTGCAGAAAGATTGCAGACAGACGGACTGTTATCCATGAGAATCTCTCCAGCTTCAAGGGCAGCCTTTGGGTTATAAGATGCTGGCTGGTGAAAGTGACTTGGTGGGAAAAGATACATAATCAAGCTTTCAGGACTGCTTTGTGAAAGTTTTTTCAACTGCTCCAGCTTAATCTTAGCTGTTATAAGTTATTTCACTAAGAGCAAACACTGAAGTAACACAAAGGTCACTGTTCTATTACTAGGTAGCAACTGGGATGACTAACTATTGCTAACTTTTTCACCACAGAAGCAGTGGCTAATTTTGATCAAAAAGACTTAGGCCAAACTGCATGTATATACACCAGTTATGAACCAGTACTAGTTTGACTATTGTTACACTTGCACAGTTTTTAAAGCCCAATGAAACACTTACCAAGCTTGTTGAATCCAGCTGCATTATAATACCACTTGCGCATCCTGTCTATCAGGCGACCACCTCCTGCAACTGAATGTGACCACCATCAATGGCAGAGCAAGGTAAAAATTCAACATTTACACACTACTATGACTGTACACAGGTATTTGCTGGCCTCCTTCACATGCAGTAATGCCACACATCAAGTCTGAATTTGAACATACATGACTTGGCCTCTCTGCTTTTCCATCTCTCTTAACTGACAGTGAAGAGGCAGAATCAAGGCTTGCTACGTGCAACAATTTAACCTATGCTTCACTACATTTGAATATTAGGCTGTTTTAAGACTTGGAGCAATGCTAACAGTTCATTGTCAAAGAAACCACCAACACTTTTAGGCTCTATGAACTCTTACTTGAGCTAAAAATGTGATGTCTTACATCAGGCAAAACCATCATGCTTTTCAAATAATTTATCTAAGTTTTGTATCTGTCACTATAGGTTAACTCGATGTCAACACCAGCATATCATTATTTTGTTAATCTTCTACTCTCCTCTCCAGTTACTTCAGCACTATTCCACAGCCTCTTTTTCCAAAGAGCTGCCAAAGTCAACAATGAAACATAAAAAAACCCGCCAAAAACTTACTTTAAAAAGAAAAAACACACTACATATATAATGTTAATATTTTCTTAGTTGTGATTTTGGATAGCAAAAAAATTGTAATGTACCTATAATCAAGTAAAATGCAATACCAAATAACATTAAAGTAACTCGATAAGGGGTCTAGAAACATGGAAACAGCACAATATTGAGCCAGCAATGTTCCCTTGTGGCCAAGAAGGCCAATGGCATCCTGAGGAGCATTAGAAAGGGTGTGGTTAGTTGGTCAAGAGAGGTTCTCCTCCCCCTCTATTCTGCTTTGGTGAGGCCGCATCTGGAGTATTGTGTCCAGTTCTGGGCCCCTCAGTTCAAGAAGGACAGGGAACTGCTTGAAAGAGTCCAGTGCAGAGCTACAAAGATGATGGAGTGGAACATCTCCCTTATGAGGGAGCTGGGTCTCTTTGGCTTAGAGAAGAGGAGACTGAGGGGTGACCTCATCAATGTTTACAAATATGTTAAGGGTGAGCATCAGGAGGACAGAGCCAGGCTTCTTTCAGTGATGACCAGTGATAGGACAAGGGGTAATGGATGCAAACTGGAGCATAGGAGGTTCCATGTGAATATCAGGAAAAACTTCTTTCCTGTGAGAGTGACAGAGCACTGGAGCAGGCTGCCCAGGGAGGTTGTGGAGTCTCCTTCACTGGAGACATTCAAAACCCACCTGGATGCGTTCCTGTGTGATGTGCTCTAGGTGACCCTGCTCTGGCAGGGGGGTTGGACTAGATGATCTTTCGACGTCCCTTCCAACCCCTAGGATTCTGTGTAATATGGGCCTAAGTCACCCCATAAAACGTTCGACAGCAATATGCCATTAGCACACTACCTCATCAGGCTCCATTCCTTTGTACTTTAAGACCTGATAAGGAGCAACACTAGAGGAACTGAGCCCGGGGCCAGCGCCCGGGCCGGACACCCGGGCCGGACACCCGGGCCGGACACCCGGGGCCGGACACCCGGGGCCGGACACCC